CATGAACAGGTTAGAAGAAGAAAGGGAAGATGGACTGGGGTCAGGTAGGGGGTGAGAAGAACACCAGTAAGCAGCCAGGTCATGGAGGTTCCATCATCGGCATCAAATACTCCATTTTCAAACTGTGGATATCACTGAGTGTGGGTTGATGGTTTTGTTAACATGTACATATCCTGATGAAACTCTCTGTGGGGCCAACATCCATTATCTCATTCATTTTAAAGAAAATGCTATATAAGCTGATGAAGTTGATTTTCATAATTCTGTTATTCAATATTTGTGTGACTGGCTGAGCTGAGTACAGAGAATCACAGTTTACCAAACTTGGCTCCCTTGCTAGGAATGACGCTGATCTGCCATGCCTGTTACAAACGGCACCGTGTTCATGCCTTCTGTGATCACCCTTATTGGGATCCCTGGCCTTGGAACTATACAGAGTTGGATTGGGATTCCATTCTGTGTTGCTTTGGTGGGAAATTCTCTACTTTTGCTCATTATCAAATTGGAACACAATCTCCATGAGTCTATGTATACCTTCCTGGCCACGTTGGGAGACACATAAATTGCACTTGGCACCAGCATTGTCCCCAGGATGCTTGGAAATTTTGGGTTACACTTTGCCAGAGATCTATTTTGATGCTTGTCTTTTCCCAATGTAGCTCATCCACACATTTCAAGGTATTGAAGCAGGAGTCCTGCTGGCTATAGCTCTGGAACATTATAAAGCAATCTGTTATCCTCTGAAGTATGCTATCATATTCATACAACAAATAGTCACTCATATTGGAGTTGGGGTGGCATTGCAGCCTGCCATTCTGGTAATGTCATGCCTATTGCTCATAAAGTGGCATCTAAAACTTTGTCAGTCAAAGTTAATACCTCACACTTACTGTGAACACATGGCCCTTGTGAAGCTTGCCACTGAAGATGTTTACATCCATAAACTCTATGGTCTCTTTGAAGCTTTTATTGTTGGCAGTCTTGACTTCATTTTGATCACCTTTTCCTGTATACAAATATTTACTACTGTCTTTCACTTGCCACAGAAAGAGGCATGTCTTAAGGCATTTAATACATGTATTCCCCACATATGTGTCTTCTTCCAATTCTACTTCCTTGCTTTTTTTCTCCTTATTTACTCACAGTTCTGGATCTTATATCCTATCATGTATACATATCATGTTGTCCAACCTTTTATTGTCCAGTGTCAGTCTTGCACCTAAGGCTTTATTTTTAGGGCTTTTAACTGTGGGTTAAGTATATAATCCATGCCCTAGTCTATAATCATTGTGTGTTGAGCAAGGAAAGACTGCTAAAAACTCCCTATTTATTTTCCAGATGTCATCTGCTTACTTTTTTGACCTCCCATTACATGACGTTTCAGAGTTCAGCAATTGTCTTATATGAAAACTAGCACATTATCATGTTAATTCTCCATTTCTCCTTTCTCACCAGGATTTAAATCTTTCTGTTGCCTCCTTTTTTCTTTGATGCTTTGCCAAAATTTGAAAATATCTGTTTTTCTGATCTTCAGAATGGACCTTCTGCCAGGAAAATTCTCTTTCTCAAATTCCTGCTTTATCCTCAGAAATAGCAGATGGCTCTTGGTAACCATGGCTTCAGAAAGTCAGCTATCTCTGTCCTCTGAACTCCTGCTCTCTGAATTTTTATTGCTTTAGCATGTCTCTAATATATTTTAAACTTTTAAAATGTACATTATTTACTTATTCATTGGGTAAACTTTTGCCTCTATTCTCTCTTTCTTACTCTTATTGACAGAATTATAATTTGGGTTTCATACACAAAAATTTATTATTTACCTTATTTTTTATAATAAAATGTGTTATGTCTAGAAAACATTGCCAGTCACAAAATTTACATATAATCTTTGATATATATGAAATTGTGATGCTCATGTGTATGAAAAATCAATTAACAAGTTAAAATTATACCATATAAAATGAAAAATTCATAGACCACTTTCCTTTGAATAGTTGTATATGTACTTAAATTAAAACAATATCTTTTATTGTATAAAACTCAAACAATATAATATCTTCTTCTGTCCTCTATTTCTACTCTTTCATTAGAGTTGAGTGTGATATTCAGGATTTATTATACCTGAATATACATAGAATTACTTAAATAAAGATCAAATCATGTCATCAATATTGTTTTGCAACATTTTTTTCATCTATAGATATGATGCAAACAACTCTAAATTACAACTTTTGGACTCCTTTCTTTTTTGAAATGCCAAACATTAAATATTATAGAAACATCATAAGGCAATTGGTTGTTTCTCTAAATAAACTTTAAACATATCAATAACATCCCATATACATATGTGGGTGCTAATTTCCACTTCACAACAGTGTTGTACATTGTACTTCATTTAATTGCCCATAATCTCATGAACCCACATATTTGCCCACTTTTTCATTTTTTCCATAGTTTCATCACACAATATATGTATTACTTTAGTACTTATCATAGTAGCCTCATACATAGATGAGTAAAAATCCTCTTCCTTTTTCTGGTGGTTACACAGTATTTTAGATTCATTAACATTGAACTTACATACACTAAGCCTATAACTCATGCCTAAAGGAAACTTTTCTAACACATGTACATTCTCCATAGGTTATAATCAGACTCGTGTTTAGAAACACTAGACAGCCTTTTAGCACTATGCATGGGGCCATTTGTTTGAAATCATCAACATACAGCATGAAATGAGAAAAACATAACATTGAATAGATCACAAAAAGTATACATTTGTACAGTATAAGAACCAATACAAGGAGGTGGAGCATCACCTTGTCCAAGGTCATCTGGGAACATGTGCACTGGGCAACCCCAGTGTTTTGCTTTTCTGCACATGTTCAGTAATGATGGTAAAAATGCTGTGGGTACTAATTTTGTGGTTTTGAATATGAATTCACAAACACAGAACCTGCAAATAATAAGGATCAATAATATACACAATATATTAATACAAATATTCATATAAACATATACCCATATATACATACAATGAATTGATTTGTTAATTTCTAATTATATGTTATCAGCTTAGTTATAACATAAATAAAATAAAATGTGAATGTGTAAGCACAGTATTTTGACACTAACATATACAAATCACTTTCATAAAAACTCCTTCCTTTTTACTGTTATTAACTTGGGCTCATTTCAGTCTACTGTGTGTTCCATTCAGTTTGTAAAGAAATCAAGGAGACACTTATGAGATCTTATAAAAGCTTGATTATTGGAAAACTTATTTTCTTAGGAATACTTATGGAGAAAAGAAAAAATTTACCTGAAATTTAAAATCCCCAAACCTATTACATTGTTGTATAAAATGAAGAAAATACTACTACCTTGAACTAATTCAGAGAGCTATTCTTACTTACAAATCTGATGTACATAAAACATTTTGTTTAATGTGTATGTTATAAGGATCATTTGTGTTATCATTTATTAATGTCATAATTTAATATAGAGGTTTCTGTGGCCTGCCTTCCCTAAGAAAGGGGAGGAATACATTGCAAAATTCTCCACTGTAACTAGAGCAGGTACCAATGATTTGCAAGCAGGGTCTCTAGGAAATGGGCTATAGGGAAAGAGAACTGATGAAGGAAGAAGCCATTCTAAAATAAAGAAGTACCATCATAGGAAGCTCAAAAGAAAGAAACTAATCCAGGGAAAGTAAACCAGCAAAGGCAGAGCTGTTAAAGAAGCCTGAGCTGCAGGGATGTGCATGGGGGATGAATGACAAGTTTGGAAAGATAAGGGTCACAAATATAAACTTGGGGTCTTTTAATTAAAAATAAAAACTATTAGTTTCTATTAACAAAACACTAAAAGACAAACTAAAAGGTAACAAACCAAATATTAATTTTCAAAATCGAATACTTTTATATTTTTAAGAAAATTATTGGTGGAAATGTGTGATAATTTGCTTCTTCTGATCTACATAGCTTAACTGCAGTTAGGCTCTGCTGATAACTCTGCTACCCCATTCATAGCTAGTACATAGTGTGCATTAGTGACAATATTCAACTGAGAAAAAAGTATCTTGAAACTGATATCTTTTTTTAAAATTTTGGAGGAGATCAATATTAAAAAAAAAAAAAACAAGGACCAAGGAAATGCACACTTGCATTTAGTGACTGAATTGAATTCCTTGTTGTTCCCAGTGAAGAAGATGAGACTTAGAAATAAGAAATATGTTCAAAAGAATCTCAAAGCCACATTTCTATCCTCAGTTCAGGTATTAATGTTTTACTTTATATCTCTGTGCTTCAGCAACCTCTCCTAAAAATGAAGAAGTTTCTCAAACTGTCTTTAAAATTCCCTGTATTATGATACTAAGGTTAGAATCTATTGAAAACTCTTCTGTATTCACTACAATGCAGACGTATGGGGTAAGATATGTAGAGATGTAATAGCTGACTCAGTGTCGTGTTCACCAATCCTTCTGTATTAAGCTGTGATATCTAATCTACCTATATAATGCATTCTATTATATGAGACAGAATAAACTTTCTGGATACTTTTGCTTAATTAAAGGTAGAGAGGTATGAATGACTCAACAGAGTCAGTCTGTGACACAGCATAATAGCATGTAACAGTTGTTTATGACATATTGTAAATGTAGACATATAACAGTTACATGTAGCAACAAAATCACACTCTAAACTAAAATTCAAAAAGCGTGGGTGGTAATAAAAATTTAATCATTTCTTGGTAAGTGCTCACTGGCACATTATGGAATATAATTCACTTTAGTAAACACTATACTTAACTTTAAAATAAGAAAATAAGATCAGTAACATTTTCTCTGGCTATTTATCTGGCTTTGAAAAACTAAATTAGAAAATGACTATAAATATGCCTTTAACCTTTTAAGAATTTCATATAAATTTATTATTTCTGTTACAAATCATTATTAGTCACTCCTCTTCCAAATACCATCATCCCTTCCCTAAAACACATTAACCTCTAGTACTCTGTTTAGTGAACCATCTCTGGATTCTGCTACGAATCTGTTGGGTCTTGACACTGTAGATAATGGGGTTCATCAAGGGTGGAAAAAGGATATAGATGTTGCCCATGAGGACATGGACCACAGGTGAGAGGTGCTTCCCAAAACGGTGCACCATGGTCAGACCAATAATCGGAATATAGAAAACCAGGACAGCACAGGTGTGGGAGACACAGGTCTGCAAGGACTTGAGCCGTTCTTCCTGGGATGCAATAGCCAAGACAGAATGCAGAATCAAGATGTAGGAGATGAGAATGAGCACTGAATCCAAAAACAAAGTGCAGATGACCAGGGCTAAAGCATAGAAGCTGTTGAAGCGGATGTCAGAGCAGGCCAGACGGAGTAGGTCCTGGTGCAGGCAGAAAGAGTGGGAGAGGATGTGGGGGCGGCAGTAATGGAAGAACTTTAGGCGGACAATGGGAGCAGTAATGAACAGGAAACTCCTACCTAGAATAGCCACACCAATGTTGATGATTCTGGTATTGGTGAGGATGGATGTATATCTCAGAGGATTGCAGATTGCTGTAAAGCGATCAAAAGCCATTGCAAGAAGAACTCCAGATTCCATGCATGATAAACCATGAACAAAGAAGGTCTGTGCAATGCAAGCATCCAAATCAATCTCCTGACCGAGCCCCCATAGGATACCCAGTACTGTGTGCACTGTGGACAGTCCCATGCATAGGTCAGTGAGGGCCAGCATGGCCAGGAAGTAGAACATGGGCTGGTGCAGGCTTGGCTCAGTCCAGATCACATGCAATACCAGGCAGTTCCCTGAAATTATCATAGCATAGATACAGGAGAAGGGGATGGAGAGCCAGGGATAGTCCCTTTCCAGTCCAGGAAAACCAGTAAGAAGAAAGGTAGAGTTACTAACTTTGAAATCAGGTCGAACAGACATTGGTGTGTAAAGAGAGAAACCTCTCAAGACAAAATATATGTACTCACAGTATAAGATTTATATATGTTTTCCACTGCCTTAATATAAAGTCTGAAGTAATAGCTATAATTAAAATGATTGGATTAGCCCATTTGCTTGTGTTTTATTTCAAAAGCTAAATTTGTTCCAAAACACTGATGAAATTAGTTTATGCCTACATATGAAACTGCTTGTTTATCAGAACTTTGGTCCCATTAGAGGAATCTGTGTCCCTGATCACAACATCATCATCACATTCTGCCTCAATGCTTCCTATTACTGGCAGCAGAAAAAAATAAATATTAGACTTGTGAAGTTGTAATAATGAGACTTAAGCATACAAAGTAGAAAAAAAATCACATTCAGGTTATTCACACTTAAAGCCTAGTGAAATAAATTAGCCACTGTTGTGGGGTGTAAGATTAGCTAGCCCTTGCTTATTATATAAAAGACTAAGTAATTTATAAAAATCAATTACTAACCATATTCTCCTTTCTGACATGTACGCTTGAGGGCTTAATAAAGCACAACTGTCATTCATGGAAGAGATGCTCTTGCCAATTTTGAAAATGGAGATTACTCTCTTATTTTGGGCACCGTGGCATTGAGATCCTCAGAAAAGCAGATTTAAGCAGGTGCAAGAGTGCAGTAGTCAGTGGAGTAAATGCTGGAACCTGGGGGATGCTGTGTTGAATGATGCAATGACCTGTGCTCCATTGGAAAAATGAAGGAAAACCCATGGGCAGTGCCTGCAAAGCAGACTTTCCACTCCAACAAGTTTTCAATGTTCTTACAAGCACGAGTTTATAAAAATAATTCCTTCATCCCAGGGGATTTGAAAATGAGCATTGGACAGATTGTTTCAGAAACCTCTGGTAGCTTGGTTTCTCCCAGACTGGTCTTTAATTTTTATTTGAAGGGCAGCAGCTGTGTCCTATATAAAATAGATTACTGTTATTAACATAAAATTTCATTTTATTTGTCTTCATTTCTGTCTCATTTTACCCCTCTATTTGAATCCCCTGCTTAAATATTCAAAGAGTTCATGTGCTGGCAGATATAAAACACTGTGTATAAGTCATATAGTTTTGTATAAGGTTGATAATCTTCACAAACTGCTTGAAATTAGAATTTCTGTTTTCATAACAATACTATTGAGGTTTTTTACATTTACTGTGTGCTAGGAATTTTAGTATTATTTAATTCTCAGAGTTAGAGTATTGTTGTTATTTAATTTAATTGCTAGAATTATTTTAAGACCATATCTTTATTTTCAGAGGCAGTACAGCATAGTGATAAAGAATGTGCTTACAGAGTCAACTTCCTGACATGGAAACCATTCTTCAAAGCCTTTGAGAATTGGGAAAGACACTTAAGCACATATCAGTTTTCTCATCTAAAATGGGGGTAATATGTTACCAATTTCATAGGGTTGTCCTGCAAATTAAATTAGATGACTATATAATAAAGCATTTAGAATAATGAAGATGCAGGGAAACACTTTAATAAAAACAAATTGCTATTATTTCCATTTCAGAGATGAAAGACTGAGGTCAGAATTTCAATACTTAAAAAGGTAGCCATAAGCCACAAATAGCTATTGAGTACATGAAATATGATAAATGCAAATTGAGAATTCACACAACTCCACTCCGGGAAAACAAAATATCCAATTAAAACATGGGCAAAGAACCTGAACAGAAACTTCTCCAAGTAGGACGTACAGAGGGCCCAGAGGCATATGAATTGATGCTCAGCATCACTAGCCATCAGAGATGCAAATTAAATACACAATGAGATACTACTTTACACCAGTCAGAATGGCCATCATAGACAAATCAACAATCAGTGCTGGTGAGGTTGTGAAGAAAAGGGAATCCTAGTACACTGTTGGTGGAAATGCAGACTGGTGCAACTTCTGTGGAAAACAGTATGGGATTTCCTCAAAAAACCTAAAAATGGAACTGTCTTTTGACCTGGCAATTCCACTGCTAGGATTTTATCCTAAGCATCCTCAAACACCAATTCAAAAGAACATATGTGCCCCAATATTCATAGCAACACAATTTACAATAGCCAAGTGCTAAATGTCCTCCAGTAATTGAGTGGATGGAAAAACTATGATACATTACACAATGAAATACTATGCAAAAGAAAGAAAGAAGGAGCTCCTACCCTTCACAACAGCACAGATGGAACTGGAGAGCATTATGCTAAGTGAAATAAGCCAGGCAGTTAAGGACAAATACCATACGATCTCACTTATAAGTGAAATCTAATCAACAAAACAAACAATCAAGCAAAATATAACCAAATACATTAAAATAAAGAACAAACTGACACTAACCAGGGGGGAAGGGAATAACGGAGGAAAGAAGAGGAAGGGTGGTCAAGGAACATGTATAAAGGACCCATAAACAAAGCCAAAGTGGGAAAGGATGGAGGGTTGGGGGTGGGAAAAAGTGGTCTTGGGAAAATGGAGACAATTCTATTTGAACAACAATAAAAATATATATTTTGTATATTTTTATATATATTTATAGAGATAGGTGGATAGATAGATAGATAGATGATAGAATTTGCTTTCCAGCAATTGTTGTCAGTTTGGATCAAATAAACTCATAAGAATTCTTTAAAATACAAAAGAAAAGAAAATGCAAATTGAATCAAGAACATAGTGTGAAAAAATGATTTAAAATGTTTCTTCAAATAATGTTTATATTGACTAGTTGCTGACAAAAACTATATGAGGTTAATAAAATATTACACTAGTCACCAGTTTCTTTTTATTCAGAACATTTAGACCTATAGAAGTGACTGACATTGTATTTCTATGGAATAAACTGACCTAGAGATATATACTTGGAAACTTTTCCTTATTACATAGCTATAATGGCATTAATATTGTTCTAACTATTTTTATGAGTCTTTTCATTGTAATTAAATAAGGTTAGTTGTTTCTATACTAAAAATTACCATTACCATACTACTATAAGTCTTTCATAAAGCAAAGTGGCATAATGTAAATTTTTGGAAAGCAGGGAAAAAACATAGGTTCTGTTACGCAGAATTAGACACTTAGGAATTTAACAATAATTCTCTATAGAAACTGAATACATAACATGTTTATAGAATTATTTTATAGTTATTATTTTTTAAATTTAATCTTCATTTTATTTTTTCCATTACCATTTAGTCCCCTTATACTTCCTTCTCCCCAGCAATCACCACACTGTTGTCCATGTCCATGAGTCCTTTTTCCTTTTTGTTGCATCCCTCCATCACCTGATCTCCCTTCACCAGCTGTTGTCCTGCTCTCCATCTATGAGTCTGTCCCCATTTTCCTCATTAGTTCAGTTTTATTTATTAGATTCCACTAGATATTCCATTAGATATGACTGAAATCATATGGTATTTGTCTTTTCTGACTGGCTTATTTCACTTGGTGTAACATTCTCCAGGTCCATCTATACTGTTGCAAAGGGTAACATTTTCTTCTTCCTTATGGCTGAGTAGTATTCCATCATGTAAATGTCTCATAGTTGTTGTTTTTTGCTTTCTAACTTATTTTTAATGGTTTTATTGTTGTTCAACTACAGTTGCCTTCATTTACTCCCACATCACTCCCCCCCAGCCATCCCCACCTCTCTCCCTTGATTCCACCCCCCTTAGTTTTGTCCACAAATCCTTTATAGTTGTTCCTTAAAACCCTTCTCCTCTTTCCCCACTTTATCCTCTTCCACCTCCCTTCTGGTATAGCACATATGGCTCAGCCTTGATGTGAAGCTTAAATTACCTATAACTTAAAAATGCCTAGAAGAGTGCTTAAAGAGTCCAGAATGTCAAATGGACTTACATGTTTGCTAAATAAAATAAATTCACTGACCTTGGATAATTCTAGATTGCAGTCAGGCATAGATGTTTTTATCATTCTGTTTAAAATATAAATAGAATGTCCCAGGGGACCTGAGGTCAATTTAGTCTCCTTCCTAATAGTATAAATCACAGCCCTCTGGCTCTTTCTTGTGCAAAGACTTAAAAAGACACTATCTATTCTCTTGGGAGCAGAGAAGCAACTATATCTTTGAGGTTTTGCAAGGACCAGGGATTGCTGGAGAGAAGAGACAGACTGAATTACAGGATGAATGAAAATGTCCTGTGGAGGTGAAGGTAGTGACTTTTCACAATGACACTGAAGGATTAATATCCATTTTGGAAATCAAATCCTTCCAGAGTTTAAAATTGCTTCAGAAAAGGCAACAATTTAGATATATTTTTTTCTTTTTTTCTACCCTCAATGTTCTACCAGGTAGAAATAGCATGAGATTCTTAAGTGTTGCAATGCTCTTGGATTATGGATGTGAACAACAGCAACTGTAACTTTTTAATGTGATCTAAAGAATTCTGTGCTACATGAATTCTGTGCTTTTACTCACCTTGCTCCTGTATGAGAAAATAAGTTGTTTGAATGTTACCTATCAAATGGATGTAATTTCAGACTCACTGAAAATGCACCTCAAGTTATCCATGCCTCCTTTTTCTGCTCATGGCACCAATTCCTCCATCTTTCTTCTAACAGGCTTTCCAGGTCTGGAACAGAAATATCCCTGGCTCTCCATCCCCTTCTTCTCCATCTACACTATGGTTCTCTCAGGAAACTGCCTGGTGCTGCATGTGATCCGGACTGAGCCAAGCCTGCACCAGCCCATGTTCTACTTCCTGGCCATGCTGGCCCTCACTGACCTGTGCATGGGACTGTCCACAGTGCACACTGTGCTGGGGATCCTATGGGGGCTCAGCCAGGAAGTCAGCCTGGATGCCTGCATCGCACAGATTTACTTTATTCATGGATTATCTTTCACAGAGTCTGGAGTCCTTCTCACCATGGCTTTTGATCGTTTTACAGCAATCTATAATCCTCTGAGGTACACATCCATATTAACCAATGCCAGGGTCATCAAAATTGGACTGGGAATTTTAGT